GTCCTTAGGTGGGCATCTGCAGCCAGTGCATGGTGGGCCAATTGTGTCATTATTTCTCTGTGTCATGGTAGCTCTCAAATGAGCGGCGGCGGCCAGCCTCAGGGCTGGCGAGCAACAGCGCTCCCGCTGCATGGCTCCCCCTGTGCTGGGGCCCCTCTTTCCGGGCACCTATGAGGCAGGGAGGGAGCCGGTCAGCAGACCGGCGCTCCCTGCCTGTGGCTCCCCTTGTCCTTACATTTAAGTGGTGTTTTTTTTTTTTTTGTAATCCATTCTTTCAATTTGTGTATTAGTCAGCTCTTTCTCACTGTGATGGAATACTTGACATAAACTATTTAAGAAAGGAAAGATTTATTTTGGCTCATAGTTTTCAGTTCACAGTCATCTGGCTCATTGCTTTTTGGCGTGAAACTTGAAGGTAACAGGGCATAGAGGAGCAAAGCCGCTCATCTCATGGCAGGCAGGAAGTGGAGGGAGCATGGGCTGGCAGGCTTTCTCATCCTTTCCTTTTTGTTCCACCAGTTTCCAGTCCTTTTGGACGGAGCTGCCCACATTCACATGCCAATCATTTCTGAAAACTCTTACACATATACCCAGAAGTATGCCTTACTAATTTCCCATTTCTTTTTTCTTTTTTCTGGTACCGGGAATCAAACTCAGGGCCTTTGCACTTGCCAGGCAGGTGCTGTGCTACTGGGCTACATCCCTAGCCTGTGTGCTAACTCTTTGGCCCTAACTTCCTGTTTCTTAATTCAATCAAGTTGGCAATCAAGAATAACCACTGTCTTTTTTGTCATTGTTCTTGTGGTACAGGGAGATTGAGCCCAGGGATGTGTTACCACAGAGCCATCACTTTCTATTTACTTATAAATTCCCAGCCATTTTATTTATTTCCAGACAAGTTCTCACTAAGTTGCCCAGGTGGACCTCAAATTTGAGAGCCTCTGTCTTAGCCTCCTAAGTATGTGGGATTACAGGCATGTGTAGCTGTGCCTGTCAGGTCATATTTAGACCATTTACATTTAAAGTGATTATTGATATAGTTGGATTAATATCTATAATATTTGTAATATTTTGTTGCCTTTTGTTTTGTTTGTTTGTCTTACATTCTCCTTTTTTTCTCTGTCTCTCATTTTAAATAATTTTATTTTCTGTCAATTTTGAGCATAATATTTGTGATTTTATACATCAAAAATTTTTAGTGGTCTTTATAGTGTTTAATTGTGCATTTACAATTAACCCAGATTTAGTTTCAAGTACTGCTAGTGTGTTATTATATTATTATGGCTGGTGTACTTTGTAATGCAGTATTTGCAACTTCCCCATCTCATTCCTTTTGAAACTACTTATCCATAAGTTATGATAACAAAATTCATTTTTACTGTTAAGAATAAGAAAAATCACTTCTGGGAAGATGGCAGACTGGTGATGAGCAGAGAAACATCCTCTCTGAGATTTGCTGTCTAGACACTGGAATATAACAAGATGAGGAAGAGAAGAAGGATCTGAAGTGAGAATCAAGTCCATGGAGAGAGCAAAGAGAGAAACCTCAATGCAGGAGATGGCAAGTGGTGCTTTCTCCCTGAGCTCTGACTTTCTGTGTGTATGTAGGGGCTTGAATCTGCAGATGCATAGTGACTACTGGTGACCCCAGAGGCCTCCATGGAGAAATGCACCAGTGGAATGGA